GAGGTTCCACGCAAGCCCCGATACACCTCTCACCCCACCCCAAACCCCCCATGCACACACCCCCATACACACACCCCAAACCCCTACACACACACCAACCCTCCCACACACACCCAAAACCCTCCTGCACACACCCTGAATCCTTAGTAACACACACTATCAATCCTTACGCACTCCACCACCACTAGGCTCCACAAATGCACACACCTCCAAACCCACTCCCCCCTCAACACCATTGCCAGCTCCCCACTCCACACACACACACTACTGCGATAGTCATTTATATAAGAACTTAGACAGACTGACACACACACCCATGCTGTGGTGATAGGTGCCTAGATAAGAACGTGGCTAGACCCTTATACACACATATACACACACACTTTGTTGCTCTCACTTGTTGCAGCTTGTCTCACGTTTTGATGGCAAGCTCTCCAGGGCAGGGAACGGGCCTTTATTTCATTTGTCTGTGTAACACCCCGTGAGTTTATGGGTGCTGCAGAAACCATAGTAATTGCTCCTGGGGCTGGCGCTTCCCACAGCACCTAGCTATTTACCTAACCATGTTACAACACCGGGGCAAGCCCACGCAGAGAGATCAGTGCAATACGAATCTGAAGCAGCAAGGGAGCTGCGGCCTCTGCCTGTTACGCCCGAGTTCCCAGAACCAGAGCGGGAGCAGGGGGTGATGAGAGAGGACACCTGGCTCCTCCTATGCCCCCTTGTGTGTTCCACCATGTCTCATCTATCTCTCACACTGGTAAGTCTGCTTGGAAGGGCCCCTGAATTACCTCTCATCAAGCCCTGTCCCCCATTTCCATGAGCTGTGAAAGCCAGGCAGCTTCCAGAGTCTGTCCCATGCCATATCGTGCTGCCTTTGTGCCCACTGGGCAGCTTCCTGGTATTTCTTACCCGCCATAGAGCAGCCTGGGCACCCAGACCGCTGCCCTCAGAACAAAGAGTCCATCGTCCAGGAGCGCTGGAACAATTTGTATAGTGGGGGTGCTGAGAGCCACTAAACCAAACTGTAAACACTGTGTATGATGGAAACCACTTCAAGCCAGGGGGAGTCCACCTAGTTCCAGCACCTATGCCATCGTCTAGCACAGGGGTGAGCAAACTACGGCCCGCAGGCCACACCTGGCCCACCAGCCAATTTAATCCAGCCCTCGAGCTCCCGCTGGGGAGCAGGGTCTGGGGCTTGCCCCACTCCTGCACTCCAGCTGGGGAGCGGGGTCGGGGGCCACTCTGCACGCACGTGCCGCAGCTCCTGGAAGCAGTGGCATGTCCCCCTCCGGCTCCTACGTTTAGGGGCAGCCAGGGGATTCCGCACGTGGCCCCATCTGCAGGCGCTGCCCCCGCAGCTCCCACTGGCCAGGAACTGCGGCCAATGGGAGCTGCAAGGGCAGCGCCTGCGGACGGGGCAGCGCGCAGAGCCGCCTGGTCGCGCCTCCACGTAGGAGCTGAAGGGGGGACATGGCTGCTGCTTCCAGGAGCTGCTTGAAGTAAGCGCTGCCCAAAGCCTGCATCCCTGACCCCCTCCCATGCCCCAACCCCCTGCCCCAGCCCTGATCCCCCTCGCACCCTCCAAACCCCTCAGTTCCAGCCTGGAGCACCCTTCTACACCCCAAGCCCCTCATCCCCAGCCCCATCCCAGAGTCCGCACCCCCAGCCGGAGCCCTCACCTCTCCTGCACCCTGCCCCAATCCAGAGCCCCTACCCGCATCCTGATCTCCTCATTTCTGGCCCCACCCCGGAATCGAACCCCCAGCCAGAGCTCTCACCCACCCTCCCACCCGTACCCCGGCCCCAGCCCTGATCCCCCTCCCGCCTTCCAAACCCCTCATCCCAGCCTGGAGCACCCTTCTACACCCCAAATCCCTCACCCCCACCCCAGAGCCCACACCTCCAGCCAGAGTCCTCACACACACTACCGCACCCAAACCCCAATTTCGTGAGCATTCATGGCCTGTGATACAATTTCCATACCCAGATGTGGCCCTCGGGCCAAAAATTTTGCCCACCCCGGTCTAGCACATCTCCCTCTACACACAACCCCCACCACCACGGCCTCGCCTGGAGAAGATGGTCTCATGCCAGCTGGGGGAATACACACTGCCCCCGGCCCCGATCAGTTTGCCACATGCTTCCAGGGGGTGCAGGGACAGCTAAGCCACCTTGACTCTTGCAAACACCAAGTACAAGATTATACATGTAGCTACCCAAGTCCCTCTGTAAATAAGTGTATTGCCTAATAATAGGCCTAGGCACAAAAGAGCTGCAAGGGGATCATGGAAACATATTGTAACTTCTAACAGCCTCGCCCCTCCTTCCCCCGCACACGCACACACACAAACTCTGTACGGCTCGCAGGCCTCCTGACACTCTTTGCAAACTGCCTCAGTGTCATAAGACCACACCGAACAGTCCAGCTCCTATTACAGGGGGTGGGATACCCGGCTGGAAGAGGGACCCTGAGCTGCTCAGAGAACTCTAGGCCACAAGTCAAGCTTTTCTGCAACAGCCCCTCTCTGTCACTGACTCTGCCCCACTGCTCTCTCTTCACCTCTCTCAGTGCCCCCTTCTCTCAAGCAACCACCATGGTGGGGGACTGTCTGCTTGTCCCTTCTGTGCCCCTAGACCCCAGCTCAGCACCAACATACTAATTAGTGTCCTCTGGAAAAACATCCCCAGTGCCTGTAATAAAAATAAAAATAACAGCTCTCTAGCCCCTGGCACTCAGAGGGCTAACGGCACTTTATGACTCTTAGCCAAGCCCCACTTGTGAGCTAGTGCAGAGCTGCCACACTCATTTTAATGATGGCCAAACTGAGGAACAGAGCAGTTGATATATTTTGGACTAGAATCCAGGAGTTCAGACTGTCAGACACATGCTCTAACCACTAGATACAACTCCCTTCCCACGCTGAGAATAGAACCCAGGTGTCCTGCTCCCAGGCCCCCTGCTCTAACCCTTTACACCCCACTTCCCTCCCAGAGCTGGGGAAAGAACCCAAGAGTCCTGGCTCCCAGCCTGACTCTCATCCAGTAGGCCCCTCCCAAATACACCAGTGTTCAGAAGACTGAAGTTACATCTCCCCAAGCTTCAAAAGCCTCAAGAAGAGCTTGTCATTTTATAGACTCCTGGATTTCCAAACCCGCAAGGGCCATACTGCTCATCTAATCTGACCTCAATAGGACAGGCCAGAGAATTCCACCCAGTAATCTCGCCCTCCAGGGAATGGTACCTCCAGCAAAGAGCGGGTTCCCCACAAGTCCTCCCCATAGCGAGTGACAGCTGAAACGCAAATTATCACTTGGTGCTTAGGCGACCCAGCTGACAACCCACAGGAACCACGGCATCAACTCCTGAACTCCTGGCTGCCCTGCACAGAGTTCTCCATCTAACAGTCACACATCAGACCTGTCTGTCTGATACCTCCATTTCAGTCTGTCCATCTCTCCAGGCCTTTGGGCCCCACTCATCTCCAGTTTCCCAGCCCAAGTACAAACTGATCCCTGACTTCCAAATACAACTGTCTCTCTGCACAAAAAACAAGTCCCTATGAATTGAACTTGGAGCCCGCTACCAGCCATTCTGGGCCCTTTGCCACAGGAAACATGGAGTTAAAACTTGAGTGTCAACAACATTCAAATAAACTTTTGTAGCGAGTGGAGCCCGAAACAAGCTGCCAGGCCCGGAGCAACAGAACGGGAGGGGGACCCGGGTCCTTCTCTCCCTGTGAGTGAGGCACAAAGGGACTGGCCCTTCAATCGAGGGCTGGGTCAGTGACCAAAAAGGGGTTGTGACGGCCCCACAGGCTGCACCAAGGCAACATAGCGCTGCTCCAAACTGGCAGAGAAGGTGCCACACCCTGAGCATAACTAAGCGCAGCGCCTGAGCTACCCCCCCACCCCGCAGTGCCCGGAAACCACAGACCTGGGGCTCATCAGCACCCTGCAGGCTTCCCTACCCCACAGCCACGCGAGTTCCCCAGCCCGGCTCAGAGCTCCCCAGAGGGCACCATGCGCTCCAGGGGTGGACGCATGTTACAAGATTGGGGGGCGCTTTGCTCCCAGACTTGAGCAGGGACACAGTTCTTCTCCCACCCCTGCACACACACACCCTGTGCCTCTCACAGGCCTGCCACTGGCGACGCCTGGTTTGAATTAGTCACTCTTTCCAACCACCACATTCCACAGGCGGCTGGAGCGGGTCCAGTGCAGGGGTCCCCACCCATCAGGAGAGGGGGGGCTCAGGACAGCTCCAGCACCATGGCTGCATGGCCACTCAGCAAAGCTCCCCAGAGCAGATTTCAGGCTCTGCAGGCTCCAGCCCCCTACCAAACTGCCCCCAGCCCGAGCCTGGAGCAAGAGAAACTTCAACACGCCCTGTATACAACCACCACCTACACACACACCCTGTACACAAACCCTGCCTATACACATCCCATATACATCCCCCTGCATGCATGCCCCATATACAGTCCCTGCCTACATACACCCCATATACCCACACTCATATGCATGCCCCATATACAACCCCCGCCAATATACACACACACCTCTACACACCTCAGATGCAACCCCACCTATATACACCTCATAAACACACCTCATATGCAAACGCCAGCTATATACAGCCTATATACAACCCCCCACAAATTCCCCCCATACAGCCCCCTCACAGCCCCAGTTTTCACACACCCCTACACACCCAGCCCCTCCCTCACACACACGCCCCCTGCAGCTGCGGGGACTTTTACCCCCCTGTCGCCCGCCCCCCCAGGCGCAGCGCCCCCAGGGCTCTCAGCGCCAGACCCGACCCGGTCCGGTCCGGTCCCACCCTACGCGCAGCGAAGGCTCCAGCTCCCGGGACACCAGACGGGCGCGAATCTCCAGCCCGGGAGGAGGCAGAAAGTTCCGCCGGCCCGGCCCCAGGTTCGGTGCCAAGGGCGGGTCCCCTGTGGCCAAGCGCGCCCGGAGCCGCTGGTCCCTACCTGCGGGTCAGTGGCTCTCAGCTCCCCGGTACAGCCATGACCGGCAGGGTCCCGGTACTCCCCAGCCCCGAGCCCGCTCCCGGATTCCTGGCGGCGGTGGCTGCTCCCTGGCACGCAGGGTCCGGTCCTGTCCCGGCGGCGGAGCGCACGAAGTGGACGCCGCTCGGCGCAGGGCTGGGCTCTTGTAACTCAGCCCGGGCTGGGTGTGTCTCTCCCCTTCCCAGAGCCGCGCTGCTGGGAGGGAGGGACCAAGAGCCAAGCCAGCCTCGAGCAGAGCGAGCGAGTCACCCTGCCGAGCCGGGTCGCGCTGGGATCCCGGCCGTGCCCGGGGGCGCACACCCCGGCCAGCCCTCCCCCCCCTCCCCCCATGCCCAGGTGCGCCCCGGCATTGGCATACCCCAGGACAGCAGCACCCTGCTCGGGTCCCCGGGCTGAGAGCCCCTCCCACGGCCAGACATGCACCCACCTCCCCAGAAAAGCCCTCCCTCCCCGCTGGGGGCCCAAGCCTGAACCCCTGAAAAACTAGAGCAAGCTGGCCCAGAGGGTTAGACTTGTGCCACCCCCTCCTGCCCTGTGGGCTCCACCTCCCCGGATCAGAGGGCTGAACAAGAACCTGGCTGTGACTCTCCCTGCCTGGGCACCCATCAGACTGAGCTCCACTCCCCTGTTCTGGACGTGAGAGCTGCTCACAGAGAAAAACCACAAAAAATCCAGAGACCCAGCTAAGGTTAGCACCTTCCTCCCCATCCCACACACCCTGCCTGCACCAAACTCCACACACCCACATGAAAAGAGGGCACAACTGCACCGAGAAAAGGGGCTGCAAACCTGCTACAAGATGGCCCCAGGAACAATCAGCCCCCAGACACAACTGCGTCCCCTCTGCTCCAGCATAGCACCCGGCACCTCCAGCCTCCAGCCTCGACTGCGTCCCCTCTGCTCCAGCACAGCACCCGGCACCTCCAGCCATGACTGCATCCCCTCTGCTCCAGCACAGCACCCAGGAACCTCCAGCCCCCAGCCACGACTGTGTCCCCTCTGCTCCAGCATAGCACCCGGCACCTCCAGCCTCAACTGCGTCCCCTCTGCTCCAGCACAGCACCCGGGAACCTCCAGCCTCGACTGCGTCCCCTCTGCTCCAGCACAGCACCCGGGAACCTCCAGCCCCCAGCCACCACTGTGTCCCCTCTGCTCCAGCACAGCACCC